CAGGCTGTAGACCATACTGGTATGACTTCTGGGCTTACGCGTATAATATTAGATGGTGCTTGCAGCGCGTCGTCCTACACACCATCTTAGGTGCTTAGTGAAGGTTTATAGTTACGTGTCAAGTTTCCTTTTGGAGACGGTTCAAGGTCTTCAATAAACTCATTATCTTTCGTGACAGGATATTACAAATCCCGGCCTCTCTGATGCTTATTGTTATATTTAATAACTTTGGAGTTAATATTTGTAAATATTCTCCAATATTATAAAGTCTTTAAGGTCATCTATAAGCTATTTCATGATGGAATTTTTTGAGAATATTCTCCAGTGTTCCTTGTTCTCTTTAACAACAATTTCGGTGTTCAGATTAAGGTGCCGTGAAGCTTCACAGCTTTGTGGAGTAAAGGTCCCGTGAAGCTTCACAGCTTTGTAGAGTAAGGGTCCCGTGAAGCTTCACAGCTTTGTAGAGTAAGGGTCCCGTGAAGCTTCACAGCTTTGTGGAGTAAAGGTCCCGTGAAGCTTCACAGCTTTGTGGAGTAAGGGTCCCGTGAAGCTTCACAGCCTTGTAGAGTATGAGTTACATAAAACTTAATGGCCTCGAAGAAAATGGATTCCTTAAGCGAAAGAAAACGGGAAATGCTTCCCTTACACTCAATATATCTAGAGAATATGGGTCACATTCTCAACAGAACAGCCATACACGGCTTCATACACATACTGGAGGATGCCATAGCACTGGCCAACGCACAGATGTGCAGGCAAGTTGCCTGCACATCTGCTTCGACCCTACCAGTCGAAGGTACCAGTCAGTGCTTCGACCCTACCAGTCGAAGCACTGCGGCCTCCAGTGCTTCGACTGGTAGCCTTCATGGCAGGCAATGGAGGCTGCCTCTCAAGGAACAACAATAGCCTGTCCCTCTAGCTTCATGGTTAGGTAATACATGAATTCACAGTCTAGTGGAACGGGAATTAAGATTCATTGTGCAATAGTTGAAGCTAATCGTCATTGTTAATGACTAGTGGCGATTAATGGGCACCTATCCACCATATAACAGCAGTCTATTTCATCTAGCAAAAATTTTCTTTGGTTAAATATAATCGCCACTCTATAACTTCTAAAAAAAATACAGAAGGTCTAAGCTATCCAGTTTCGCATGTAAATTTAAAATTGATTTAAATGAAACAAAATATGAACTTAATTTTACAAGGTTCAGTTCAATGTCGCTTCAGTTATCTGTAAAATTTAACGAGATTAGTCGACATCAAAGTTTGTGTCGCTTAAAAAAAAATCGGACTGCAGATGACTTAGGTCACACTCAAACACTTTTCGTAACCCTTTCATAGCCGGGTATCTTTACTAAATGATATCACCCTGCAGTAATATTCCACACATGACGTGTGCCAAATCACACAAATACATCTCAGGAGGTCGGAGAGAGAAGTGCGCGCGCATACACACACACTCGACCGATGACGGAGGCCCCTGAGGTATGTGCGGGGCCTGACCAACAAAAGCCTAGTGGAAGCCCGGCCCCGAGGTGCGGTCGTCACTCCCACCCTGATAAGCATTTTGTTTCCACCGCGTGAGGCCCAACGTAACTCACCCGTCTCTACCCTCCTTGCCACACCTTCTAAATATATTGGTCTTGTACTGGCCACCTCACCAAATATGGCACACCCTGCACTACGCTCAACACGAGCGGCCATCGCACACAAGGAATACAAAAGAATGAGCCGTTTGTTTTCACTGGAGGCCCGCAATACCCGCCTGTACAGTTATTGCCATATGCCCAAAATACCTGTATGTACTGTATAATCTATTACACGTCCTGCTTAGTATAGACTCGGGGCCATCATGGAATTAGAAAGACGCAAACGAGACAAGTGACAGCTATATGGATTAAATACCGTACTTCACAAGTGAGAAATGGGAAGGCGTGTGATGAGGGAAGCCACTACAACTGGTTCTCCCCTCAAGAATGCACGTAACTGGCTTCTACACTTGCCAGATCATGTTACAGGAAGTGGGAGACGCTTCCTTTACTCTCATTACATTTAGACAATTTGGGTCACACCCACGCACACTACCTTTACACCTTAACTAACGCCAATATACGGCTTAATTATATTGTAGACATTATAGCACTTGCCAACTCTTGATGTGTAGCAAGGTCACCTGGGGGGGCCCCCCCACTCCACACATCTGTGCTCTACCGCTGGCTCACTATGCTGTGTCCACACTTGGGGCTTGTTTTTCTTCCTCTTAACTAAAATACCAGCTAACATAAGAGCTAACAAAAAAATTGTTTCTCGAGCTTAAGCCTGTTGGAGTTCCACTTCCACTCCCCCATGGCCTACACACGAAAATATTTTGGGTGAATGGAGATAAGCTAAACAGTGTTAATTTAAACTGATCCCAACATTGATGGATATCATTCATTTTAAAGAATGCCAATGTTCTGAGAACTGTGTCTGCGACACACCCAAACCAAAACGCCACGATTCGTGCATATTCCACTTCAGCTCATATATATATAAGAAGTCAAGATTTAGAGGCCATCTTGGGAGGTATGTTATTTCTTTGTTAGACGTACTGTTATCTGCAATCATATTCATCGTTTAGTCTTAACACGCCACTCTGTAACCCTATCCAGTATTTAATCATTATCCTGACAGAACAGCAACCCGAGGATATATGTCAACGCCTTGGTATTGGGACAACTTTATTGATCACAAGTCCTGGAGTACCTCCCCCTATCATATTTACCATATCTGTACTGGGTAAATCATTTTTAACCAGTACAGGTATTTTAAATATGGTTTTCCTGTCTTAGGTATAAAATAATTATTACTGGTTTTCAGCTTTCTTTATTTTCTCACAGGCACTGGTGGCCACACCACCCCCCAGACAAGGCACTGGTGGCCACACCACCCCCCAGACAAGGCACTGGTGGCCACACCGCCCCCCCCCCAAGACAGGGCACTGGTGACCACACCGCCCCCCCAGACAGGGCACTGGTGGCCACACCGGCCCCCCCCCAGACAGGGCACTGGTGGCCACACCGCCCCCCCAGACAGGGCACTGGTGGCCACACCGCCCCCCCAGACAGGGCACTGGTGGCCACACCCCCCCCCCAGACAGGGCACTGGTGGGCACACCGCCCCCCCAGACAGGGCACTGGTGGCCACACCCCCCCCCCAGACAGGGCACTGGTGGCCACACCACCCCCCCAGACAGGGCTCTGGTGGCCACACCGCTCCCCAGGCAGGGCTCTGGTGGCCACACCGCTCCCCAGACAGGGCTCTGGTGGCCACACCGCCCCCCAGACAGGGCTCCGGTGGCCACACCGCCCCCCAGACAGGGCTCCGGTGGCCACACCGCCCCCCAGACAGGGCTCCGGTGGCCACACCGCCCCCAGACAGGGCTCCGGTGGCCACACCGCCCCCCAGACAGGGCACCGGTGGCCACACCGCCCCCCAGACAGGGCACCGGTGGCCACACCGCCCCCCAGACAGGGCACCGGTGGCCACACCGCCCCCCAGACAGGGCACCGGTGGCCACACCGCCCCCCAGACAGGGCACCGGTGGCCACACCGCCCCCCAGACAGGGCACCGGTGGCCACACCGCCCCCCAGACAGGGCACCGGTGGCCACACCGCCCCCCAGACAGGGCACCGGTGGGCACACCGCCCCCCAGACAGGGCACCGGTGGCCACATCGCCCCCCAGACAGGGCACCGGTGGCCACATCGCCCCCAGACAGGGCACTGGTGGCCACACCGCCCCCCAGACAGGGCACTGGTGGCCACACCGCCCCCCAGACAGGGCACTGGTGGCCACACCGCCCCCCAGACAGGGCACTGGTGGCCACACCGCCCCCCAGACAGGGCACTGGTGGCCACACCGCCCCCCAGACAGGGCACTGGTGGCCACACCACCCCCCAGACAGGGCACTGGTGGCCACACCACCCCCCAGACAGGGCACTGGTGGCCACACCACCCCCCAGACAGGGCACTGGTGGCCACACCACCCCCCAGACAGGGCACTGGTGGCCACACCACCCCCCAGACAGGGCACTGGTGGCCACACCACCCCCCAGACAGGGCACTGGTGGCCACACCACCCCCCAGACAGGGCACTGGTGGCCACACCACCCCCCAGACAGGGCACTGGTGGCCACACCACCCCCCAGACAGGGCACTGGTGGCCACACCACCCCCCAGACAGGGCACTGGTGGCCACACCACCCCCCAGACAGGGCACTGGTGGCCACACCACCCCCCAGACAGGGCACTGGTGGCCACACCACCCCCCAGACAGGGCACTGGTGGCCACACCACCCCCCAGACAGGGCACTGGTGGCCACACCACCCCCCAGACAGGGCACTGGTGGCCACACCACCCCCCAGACAGGGCACTGGTGGCCACACCGCCCCCCAGACAGGGCACTGGTGGCCACACCGCCCCTCAGACAGGGCACCGGTGGCCACACCGCCAGATACAAGCGGCACAATTTAACCCAGGTGGTGACAGGTAACGGTGTCACCAGTACCACCCCAGGAGCGAGGACCAGGTTCCCGGTGCTAGTTTAAAGTAAGGGTGTTCACCTGCCACACCTGGGGCGCCGTTAGGGCTCCAGGCCCCCACCACGGCCCCCCCGCACGCCTCAACACCTCCAACACCTGCCCACAAGCCTCTCACACTTCCCAGGACGGCTCCTTGGCACTCACTTCACCACATTCCAGGAGTCCGCTACTCAGTATGCTGGGCTCAAGACACACGCGGAAATTTCCTAATTTTGTTCCCCCTTTTAGTTTCGCCGTTATTAAGATACTTTGGGCCTAAGCTAAGCATGGTACTAGGGCGTAATTGGCTCTCGGGGTGCCTTCTTGCGGGGTTAGTATGGCCTATCGTGTTGAAGAGATTAGATAAGGGTGGTAGTATGAAGATAGTGTTTATCAGCACGGGGCGGCAGTGGGAAGAACACTTCAAGACCACCAACCTTTTTCTGCTGCTTCTCCCAGGCGGGGTCCAGGAGACCCTCGCGCTCCCACTCCTCCTCCGGCTCCATGTACTCTTGGTCGTTCTGGTATTCCATGTCGTTCTCCAAACAGGTGGAGGGAAGGCTGTCACAAAACTATCGCTAGTGAGGGGGTCGAACGGGCACCACCACAACACCACACAACCACCACACCGGGAGCGGCGAGATCCACCCGGTACAGGAGAGCGAGCGGCACAGCACTGACCCGCCCCCAACCCCCGCTGCCGCACCCCGCACGCCAACATCTCATACCGCTTACTCCTACGCCTATAATAGCCTCCACGGCAAATATTTGACTTCCCGGCTTATAATTGTTTTTGTTTACTTCATCCTCGTGATCATTTATAACATATTTATTTAGCTTTACAATCAAGTGGGGACAAAGAACACAGATTATTCGAATATGCCAAAATGCAACTCATACAAGAGGCCACTAAGCCATCTTGGCAAACCTCCATATAAGGCAGGTTAGACTACACTTCAATACCGAATACAACAATGACTGTTTCAGGCGTCATAGTGCTGACGTATTATTTTTTACGGAAAATGAAAACGCTATTGTTAAAAAGTTTCAAAAAAATGTAGCTGGCAACTCGCAACAAAAGGATTTTTCAAAACAAACCGACGCGACCTCTCTGCATATTCCTTTACTTTGTTTATTGCTAACAAATTATCCACTCAGAGTTTACGAAATATATAACGTAAATATCGTTTATTTCTGCAAGTGTTATAATAATGGTTCCAACTTCATTCTCCCAAAATAAGACACGCAACAATGTCTCGACAGCGTTGTCGGACGCACGATGATGACACCCTGTGCGTTAAGGTACGATAATACTGTGCTCTCCATATGGCTTGAATAATATTATTACAGATGTGTTTGAAATAAATTATTTACTCCAATACAGTTTGTAAATAAATTGTAAATAGTATAACTGCAAGACAGTGATGGCGTGAAAGTCCAGCGATGGTTTCTCTATAATCAACAGAAAGTTTAATAACTTCACGTATTATATATAAATAACTTGTATATCTCCGTACTTAGATTTCTCGAATACTACCTTGCTCTTATATTTTATTAATTGTAAACTACTCGCGGTTCATATTGCCACAGGCTTCCTCTCCATGCCAAAGTTGTTGGTCCGTGTCTTTATATACGGTAGCCTATTCTAACACAATGGGGAAAGGGAGAAGTTGTAAATTCTTGTGCTGTATACAAATTTTGTTTCTTAAAAAGCTATTCATACAACATGAGCAATATAATTAACCTATGAAATATAAAATTATTATTATTATTTTTATTATTATTATTATTATTATTATTATGTAGCGTGTATGTTCGTTTGTTTACGTAGGTCAGTCTGGGATTGTACTTACAAGTACATGAGAAATTTGATCTAGTTCTTGGCTGAATACTATGTGGCGTTTACATTTATTTTCGTTCCATTTGTCACATTTGTTCTTGAAAATGTGGATTGGGGTGGCTACCACCGTCGGGTCTGGCCAGTGACTGGTTAGGTGACTGCTTGCAGAACCTTGCCCTTGACTCATTAAGCCTTACAGACTTCCTGTCTCCGACAACGAAGAGGAAAAAAAACACAGCACTTGTTGACAACCCGTCACTGTGTACTGCTTTCTTGCTTGTCTCTGGCTCAATACATCATTTCTCTCTTCCCTTTGTTTGGGTTTTATTCGTGTCTTCCGTTAATTTTGTTAATTTTCGTTCCCATTTTCCAATTAGTTCCTGTATTTTTTTTCTCGCAAGTTACCCTCATTTTCTCCATTGGCTTCTGCCAAAAGTTTTTAGTTTCATTAATCTCTCCTGACACTGGGTTTCCCCATTTGTCGCCGCCCTGATTCTGAAATTGCGTAGTTCTTCTGCAATTCTGGACATTTTGCTTTAAAGCTTCTCACTTGAATCTTCAATCTGCTTACCCAACCACTTAGGGTGGACAGTTGAGCGACGGTCTCGCTTCTTGCAGGTTGGAGTTTAATCCCCGACCGTCCAAGTGGTTGGAAAACATTCCCTTCCCTTCCCTCCCGTCCCATCCCAAATCCTTTTCCTGACCCTTTCCAAGTGCTATATAGTCGTAATGGCCTAATGCGTATATGTGTGTGTGTGTGTGTACTCACCTATATGTACTCGCCTAGTTTTGTGTGTGTGTGTGTGTGTGTGTGTGTGTGTGTGTGTGTGTGTGTGTGTGTGTGTGTGTGTGTACTCACCTAGTTGTACTCACCTAGTTGTGCTTGTGGGGGTTGAGCTCTGGCTCTTTGGTCCCGCCTCTCAACCGTTAATCAACAGGTGTACAGGTTCCTGAGCCTACTGGGCACTTATCATATCTACACTTGAAACTGTGTATGGAGTCAGCCTCCACCACATTACTTCCTAATGCATTCCATTTGTCAACCACTCTGACACTAAAAAAGTTCTTTCTAATATCTCTGTGGCTCATTTGGGCACTCAGTTTCCACCTGTGTCCCCTAGTGCGTGTGCCCCTTGTGTTAAATAGCCTGTCTTTATCAACCCTATCGATTCCCTTGAGAATCTTGAATGTGGTGATCATGTCCCCCCTAACTCTTCTGTCTTCCAACGAAGTGAGGTTTAATTCCCGTAGTCTCTCCTCGTAGCTCATACCTCTCAGCTCGGGTACTAGTCTGGTGGCAAACCTTTGAACCTTTTCCAGTTTAGTCTTATGCTTGACTAGATATGGACTCCATGCTGAAGCCGCATACTCCAGGATTGGTCTGACATATGTGGTATATAATGTTCTGAAAGATTCCTTACACAAGTTTCTTAAGGCCGTTCTTATGTTAGCCAGCCTGGCATATGCTGCTGATGTTATCCTCTTGATATGAGCTTCAGGGGACAGGTCTGGCGTGATATCAACCCCCAGGTCTTTCTCTCTCTCTGACTCTTGAAGTATTTCATCGCCCAAATGATACCTTGTATCTGGTCTCCTGCTTCCTATTCTTCCTATCTTCATTACATTACATTTGCTTGGGTTAAACTCTAAACTTGTGTGTGTATGTGTATGTGTATGTGTGTGTGTGTGTGTGTAATTACCTAAGTGTAGTTACAGGATGAGAGCTACGCTCGTGGTGTCCCGTCTTCCCAGCACTCTTTGTCATATAACGCTTTGAAACTACTGACGGTCTTGGCCTCCACCACCTTCTCACCTAACTTGTTCCAACCGTCTACCACTCTGTTTGCGAAAGTGAATTTTCTTATATTTCTTCGGCATCTGTGTTTAGCTAGTTTAAATCTATGACATCTTGTTCTTAAAGTTCCAGGTCTCAGAAAATCTTCCTTATCGATTTTATCAATTCCTGTTACTATTTTGTATGTAGTGATCATATCAACTCTTTTTCTTCTGTCTTCTAGTTTTGGCATATTTAATGCCTCTAACCTCTCCTCGTAGCTCTTGCCCTTCAGTTCTGGGAGCCACTTAGTAGCATGTCTTTGCACCTTTTCCAGTTTGTTGATGTGCTTCTTAAGATATGGGCACCACACAACCGCTGCATATTCTAGCTTTGGCCTAACAAAAGTCGTGAACAATTTCTTTAGTATATCGCCATCCATGTATTTAAAAGCAATTCTGAAGTTAGAAAGCGTGGCATTGGCTCCTCGCACAATATTCTTTATGTGGTCCTCAGGTGATAGTTTTCTATCTAGAACCACCCCTAGATCTCTTTCTTTATCAGAATTCTTTAAAGATTTCTCACATAATATATAGGTTGTGTGAGGTCTATGTTCTCCTATTCCGCATTCCATAACATGGCATTTATTAACATTAAATTCCATTTGCCAAGTGGTGCTCCATATACTTTTGTCCAGGTCATGTTGAAGGGCATGACAATCATCTAAGTTTCTTATCCTTCCTATTATCTTAGCATCATCAGCAAACATGTTCATATAATTCTGTATACCAACTGGTATACCAACCGGTATACACATTTATGTTGACAATAAACATCACTGGTGCAAGAACTGAACCCTGTGGTACTCCACTTGTGACATTTCTCCAGTCCGATACATTGCCTCTGATCACTGCCCTAATTTTTCTATCAGTCAGAAAATTTTTCATCTATGTTAGAAGCTTACCTGTCACTCCTCCAATATTTTCCAGTTTCCAGAACAACCTCTAGACTCTGTCGAAAGTCTTTTTTAGGTCCAGATAGATGCAGTCAACCCAACCATCTCTTTCCTGTAATATCTCTGTTGCTCGATCATAGAAACTGAGTAATTTCGATACACAGGATCTTCCAGATCGAAAACCATACTGTCTGTCTGATATTATATCATTTCTCTCCAGGTGTTCTACCCATTTAGTTTAAATTATTTTTTCCAATATTTTGACTATTACACTTGTCAATGATACCGGTCTATAATTAAGGGGGTCTTCCCTGCTTCCACTTTTGTAGATTGGAATTATGTTAGCCTCTTTCCACACATCAGCTACAACTCCTGTAAACAGGGATGCCTGAAAAATCAGTTGAAGTGGAATGCTGAGCTCAGGTGCACATTCTTTCAGAGTGTGTGTGTGTGTGTGTGTGTGTGTGTGTGTGTGTGTGTGTGTGTGTGTGTGTGTGTGTGTGTGTGTGTGTGTGTGTGTGTGTGGGTGGGTGTGTGTTATCTCTGTGTTCACCTACTTGTGTTTGAATGATCGATCTCAAGTTCCTTGGCCATGCCTTTCAACCACCAGTTTTATCATTCTATAACCCCTCGAACTTAATTTCGAGTATACTATCTACTTTTAAAAATGTGAATGGCGTTGGCTTCAATATAACACGTCCAGTTCAACCTAATTTTCTACCATTTTTGTATTATATTAATACTTTCTAATATATGTTTACCGATTTGTGTATCTCGCCATACAACCCTTTTGTACCACTGATATATCCCCGTGTTCGGGGGACAGGTAGCCTCTACTTAGGCTTATGGAGGGAAGGCCAAGTACTGACCTTCCCCCAGAGGCAAGCCACAATAGTTACCTGACTCCTGGGTACCCATTTAGTACGAGGTGAACAGAAGCATCAGATGAAAGGAAACGTACCGAATCATTTTGCCCTGCCAGGGCATAATAACCCAGATATCCCTCGGTTGTTAACCGAGGACGTAGGCTACTGTGCTACAGAACCTATATTTAGCGATTTCCTTTTTTTTCCACGCTATATAGACATATTGGCTTGGCACTTTCTCCCGATAATTACCTGACCT